ATCCCTGGCCGTCCCTGATTTACTTTTATTTAAACTACGTTGGATGGGTGGTTCTTCCTAAACATCTCAGAACCCATTCCCTTTTCTTTCTCTGCTCTTTGCAATTCTAACTCCATGTCTCTTGGACTGCTGTAACAGTTTTCCAGGTTCTCTTCCTGCTTTGGGTCTTACTCTGAACCTGTTCAGTTTGTTGCCACACTACCGTGAGTAATCTTTCCAAATCACAAATCTGTGTCAAGTCTGCTGTTTGGAAACCATTAGTGACCTGCATTACACATAGCATTCGATGCGCTCTAGAATGATGGACAAGGCTTGGGAGTGGTATCTTCTTCCTCTCCTCCATGTACTTTCTCTTCTGAGCTTCTGTACCACGTTGATTACTCTAGCCGTAGTTCTGAAAGAGCGGCGCGTTCTTTCATTCCTCCATGGGCTTAAATACACTGTCCAGAAGGTTCTTGTCTTGGTGAGTTCTTTCTTGAGACGCATCTGCATCGGCATCTTTGTATTCTATCTCAGTAAAGTTCACTTTTCCCTTCTCTGATCTCGTACCTAGAGTTTTGTAGAGGTGTCCTCCTGCTATAATCTACATACTTCAGTTTCTATCCTCACTTTAGTGTGAGCTTCCCAGGATCAAAGATTGGCTTTTATCCTCTTTACCCGACATGTAGCAAATTCTTCATAAATATTGCATGAATGGGTCTGGTAGAAAATGTTGGATTTCTATTTAAAGGAGAGTTAATATTTTTCACTTAGAGTTTTTTGTTAATATTTAATCTTTTGTTCTAAAGATGGTGGAACCGGGGCAAGATTTGCTACTTGCTGCTTTGAGTGAGAGTGGAATTAGTCCGAATGACCTCTTTGATATTGATGGAGATGTGGGCCTTGCAACTCCAACCCCAACACCTGCACTTCAGCAGGTAAGTTTCCTAAAGGCTTTGTGAAACAGTAGGGCTCTTACTTAATTTTTAATTCCCATGTATAAAAACATACTATATCTTAATTTTTAATATAGATGTGAATGTTATTCTATTGAATATTTGAATATTTGTCTTCATTTGGGAGAAGATATTTGCAATGCTTTGGTATGATTTTTATATATATAAACATAAGATGGTAATTGTTATATTCTGCCCCTTTGGCTTGCCTGGGCTGCATTGAGTGAAGAGGAATTGTCTTGGGTTGCATATAAAATATATGATGTAGTCGGTGTACGTAAGTAACAAATGTGTCACTTCATTATTTATTTAATTTTTAGGATACTGAGAATTGAGCTTATATTCCCAGCCCTTTAAATTATTTATTTATTTATTTATTTGGTACCGAGGATCGAACTCAGGTCCTTGTTCTTGTGTAGCAGGCGGCGACACCACTGAGCTAAATCCCGGGCCCGCCCTTTTTATTTTTTATCTTGGGAGAAGGCCTCACTAAGGTGCCAGGCTGGGCTTGAACTTGCAATCCTTTTGCCCTGCCTTAGGCTCCCAGAATCCTGGAATTACAGGCATAGGCCACTGTGCCCAGTTTTTATTTTTATTTTTATTTTTTTGGTACTGGGATTGAACTCGGGTCCTTGTGCTTGTGCAGCAGGCGCTTTTCCCTAGTTTTAAAAAAAATTATTAAATTATTTTATGAAATAACACAAGCCTAAGTTTAATAATCAAATAAGAAAATTTAACACATCTAACAATAAAACACCTAACTTCACAGGCACACATATGTAGGCAGGTGTTACCTGACAAACTCTTGAAACATCTGATACACATGGGCTTCAACTGGACTTTGTGTGGCAGGCACAGGAGGCAGAGCTAGTGGTGCACTGTGCCTGCCTCCACAGCCTTCTTTTATTGCCTATAGGTTCTGCACTCAAGTGCTGCATGACCAGGTCGTTAATATCACTGAAGATCACATAATAATGTTAACAGCTTAAGGTATTGTGGGGCCGCATTGCTACCTATGCAGAGCTGCCTGTGGACTACAGCCCACAGGTTGGACACACCTGATTTAGAAGAGTTTTTGTGGGAGGGTCATTATCTCTTTTATGGTTGTCACAATATTTTTCTGTGACTTCACTATACATATTCTCTCTCTCTTTTTTTTTTTTTGGTACCAGGGATCGAACTCAGGTCAGTAGGCGGTGAAACCACTGAGCTAAATCCCTGGCCCCATATTCTCTAAAAGGAAAAATAAGATTCTGATATTAGCATAGTTTTGCAGAGATTTTAGGCTTTCAAAGATTATCATACAGTGGTACCTTGGTTCACAAATTTAAGTAGTTCCGCAATTCTGGAAAAAATGGCTACGTTCATGTTTATGTGGGAAAGATGTCCGCAGTCGTGTTCACTGTCAGGTGGAGTTTGCAAACAGAAATAAGATTTTAGGTGGGCGTCGTGGCGCACACCTGTATTCCCAGCACTCTGGAGCCTCAAGCAGGAAGATCACCCTGGGTTCAGGGCCAGCCTGGGCTACACAGTGAGTTTAAGGCTAGCCTGAACTGTGTAGCAAGACCCTTCCTTTCTCAAAAAACAAAAAAACCCCTCCAAAACTCAATTCTGCAACTTTACATTCAAACTAAAATATGAGGGCTGGGGATTTAGTTTAGCGGTGCCACTGGCTGCCTCACAAGCGCAAGGTCCTGAGTTCGATTCCTGGTACCAAAAAATAAAATAGATACTGCTTTTCCTTAAGAAAAAAACCACTGAAATATGAAATCACCAATACCAGATCCAGTGGTACTCTCAGTTCATGAACGCTTTTGTTTGCAAACAGTTGAGTGTGCAAAGAGTAACATTTGGCAAAATTGTGTTTTGAGCTTTCAAGGCAGGCGCCAGAACCACTGAGCTAAATCCCCGGCCTGTCTTTTTATTTTTTGTGGTGCTGGGGATTTGAACTCAAGGCCTTGCCCATAGGGCAAATGTTCTACCACTGAGATGCAGCTTTAGTCCAAAATTTTTTGTTTGTTTGTTTGTTTTTTGGTACCAGGGATCGAACTCGGGTCCTTGTGCTTGCAAGGCAAGCGATGGAACCACTGAGCTAAATCCCCGGCCCTTTTTTTTTTTTTTTAATTTTTGATATAAGGTTTCCATATGTAGTTCCGGGTGGCCTTGCTCGCTATGTCGCCCAGGCTGGCCTAAAACACAGCACTCCTGCTTCAGCCTCCTGAGTGCTGGGATTTCAGGTGTGCCCACCACGCCCGTTTTTTTTTTTTTAATGAAATAATTACAACTCTTGTTCTGGAAACAGAATTCACTGGTGTTTTCTCTGATGATTTCTCTCCAGTCGGTGCCATTTGGTGCATTAGAACTAGGTTTGGAGGCAGAAGCTGCAGTTACTGTTAAACAAGAAACAGAAACGGTACCCACTCCTGCGCTGTTAAATGTGAGGGTAAGAATTTTTCAGATTTGGCATTGCTCCTGAAATACCTTGAGATTGTGGCAGGAAAATAGCCTTTCAGTAAGGAATAGTTTCAGCTTCTTAGGTTTGCTTTTTGTTACTTCCCTGATATCCTACTGTTGTCTTTTTTTTTTTTTTTTTTTTTTTTTTGTTACCGGGGATTGAACTTGGGTCCTGGCACCTGTACAGGCTGCGAAACCACTGAGCTAAATCCCCGGCCCAATATGTATAATTTTTTTCTGTGATTGTAATTGAGCTTTTCATATAGAGTTCCCCTGACTTTACCTTAAGCATGGCTAATTAACTGAAGCCTAGTGGTGTAAAATTATTTTACATACTTGTGGTAAAATTTATTAATTTATCTGGGTGTGGTGGCACGTGGCTGTAGTCCCAGCACTCAGGAAGATGTGGCAGGAGGATTGCTGTGAGTTTGAGACCAGCCTGGGCTACATACTGAGACCCTGTCTCAAAAAACCACACAATGGGCCGGGGATTTAGCTCAGTGGTTTTGCTGCCCACTGCACAAGTGCAAGGACCCGAGTTCGAGCCCCGGTACCCCAAAACAAAACAAAAAGATAACCACACAAAAGTTTTTCTGATAATTTGTGTTAAGATATTTAAATGTGATAAATAGAAAGCCCCAAAATTCTTATTGTAGGAGGTCATGGAGAAACAAACAGTTTGAGGAAGAAAGTAAGTAGAAATAGACTTAAGTTTATAGAAGTATCTCAGTCGTACTTACAGTTAACATTGGCTTGGGCCAGGGATTTAGCTCAGTGGTTCCACTGCCTGCTGCACAAGCGCAAGGACCTGAGTTTGATCCCCAGTACCAAACAAAACAAAAAAATCATTGGCTTTTTTTGTTGTCAGTTTTTTCTTACTCTACCTTATCTACCAACGAAAAAGAAAATGTTTTGTGTCTGTATTTTAGGCCCTGTAGCACCCACATTATTATCAATATTTGTAGTTTAGCTGGCTGGGTTGTTAAGTTCTAAATTTGCTGTAGCCTGTGTGATAGCAAACAAAGCATTGAACAGGAGTCACAGAAAAAAAAATTCTTTTTTGAGACAGGGTTTCACTGTGTAATTCATGGTGGCCTTGAACTCACTGTGTATCCCAGGCTGGCCTTGAACTCATGGTGATCCTCCTGCCTCTTCCTTCTGAGTGCTGGAATTACAGGCATTTGCCACTACACCCAGCTAGGAGTCACAGAATATTAAAATCAGAAAATAGGCCTCAAGAGAACTCGGCCCTCCAGTTGCTTAAGTGATTGGCTCAGAATTGTCTGGTTGGGATAGTACTGGCATTTGAAATTATTCCCTTTTTTTTTTTTGGTGGTACCAGGGCTCAAACTCAGGACCTTGCACTTGCCAGGCAGGCATGGTGCCCCTGAGCTACATCCCCGACCTGAAATTCATTCTTTTGACGAGCATGGTGGTGCATACCTATAATCCTAGCACTCAGGAGCCTGAGACAGGTAGATCACTACAAGTTCAAGGCCAGGCTGGACTACAAAACAAGACCCTGTCTCAAAAAACCCAAAAGAAATTCTTCCTGTTAACCATCATCATTTAGGATTACTGTACCTCACAGTTTGCTTGGGATAGCTTCCATTTACGCTTTTGTCCTTAGTAGTTGTATGAAATGTCACACTACTCTGCTTTGTTTTTCTCAAAGTAAGGTTTTTGTTTTTGTTTTTTTTGCCCTCAAAATGAGGTTTTACCTTGGTAATTTACAGGTAATCATATTGAATTAGAGACAGAACTGTGGTGCCTGCCTGTAATCCCAGCTGCTTGGAAGGTTGAGCTGGGTGGATTGTGAGTTTTAGGTTAGTTGGGCAACTTAGCAAGACTGTCTCAAAATAAATAAGTAAAAATTGGGAAAAAACCCCTAAATTAGAAATGAATTGTCATAGGGAAAAATAAAATCAAGTTTAGATTTTTTAATGGCCTATTATGTTTATGGATATAGACTGCATTGGAGAAGGAAACTTTTTTTTTTTTTTCACATTTTTTGTGTGTAAAGAAATTTGATTGTTTTGTTTTGTTCCCTAGCAGCAGCCTCCATCGACTACAACATTTGTGTTGAATCAAATAAATCAACTTCCAACCCTGGGATCTACAATTGTAATGACTAAAACACCACCTGTAACAACTAACAGGCAGACCATCACTTTAACAAAATTTATCCAGACTACTGCAAACACCCGCCCTTCAGTGTCAGCACCAGCAGTGCGGAACACTGTGACCACTGCACCTTCAAAAGACCAGGTTCAGCTAAAGGATCTACTAAAAAATAATAGTCTGAATGAACTCATGAAGCTGAAGCCACCTGCTAATATTGTTCAGCCAGTTGCAACAGCAGCTAGTAAGTCTTTATGTTTTCAGAGGCAGAAAATTTGTCTTTTATAAACTATGTCACAGTCTTTTGAGGGTTTCCTTGTGTCTTAAAAGAGCTGGGCATGAAAGAGGCATTGCCTGCCTTGCTCTGCGTCCAAAGTATGTACCCAGTTCAAGAGATGCAGAGAGAGGTGTTGGTGGAGCATTTTGCTTTGAAATGAAGTATTTGGGATTACTGAGTATCTACATTAATGTCACGAGATCATGTTAGTTTTATATATTGTGAGTAAGCAGTTAATGTGTTTTTTAATCCTTTAAATTAATTTTTTAATACTTTCTGTGCCGGTGAATCATAGGATCTTGCTCAAAAGCAGAATCTGATTCAGGATGGGGCAAAAACTTCTGCATTTCTAAAAAAGCTCTCCAGAGATATTCTTGGTGATGGTCTTTGTTTTGTTTTGTTTTTTTCTGAGAACAGGGTCTTGCTATGTAGTTCAGGCTGGCCTTGAACTCACTATGTAGCCTAGGCTGGCCTTAAACTCATGGTGATCCTCCTGCCTCAACCTCCCCAGTGCTGAGATCATAGGCATGGGCCACCACACCCAGCTTCTTTTCTTTTTTTTTTTGTTAGGGAGATCGAACTTGGGACCTTGAACTTGGGAGGCAGGTGGTGGCACCACTGAGCTAAATTCCTGGCTCTCAGCTCCTTTTATTATTGTGCCCAAGCTTTTCTTTCTTTTTTTTTTTTTTTTGGTACCAGGGATCGAACTCAGGACCTTGCGCTTTAAAGGTAGCTGGCGGAACCACTGAGCTAAATCCCTGGTCCTCAAGCTTTTCTAAGTCATTGTGTTGCCCAGGCTGGGCTGGAACTTGTGATCCTCCTCCCTCAGCCTCCCAGAGTGCTAGGATTACAAGCGAGTGCAACGGGTCTTGGGGTCTTGGGCCGGGGATTTAGCTCGCAGGCGCAAGGACCTGAGTTCCATCCCTGGTACCAAAAAAACCCCCCAAAACCAAGTGAGTGCCAAACAAGTGAGTGCCACGGGCTCAGCCCATTCCCTCTTTTAAACCGTGTAATTTGCTGGTTAGGTGGTCACGCTAGTAATCCTATCTCTGTGGGTGGCTCAAACAGAAGGATTTTAAGCTCAAGTGCAGCCTAGATGATTTAGGGAGACCGCGTCTCAAACTAAAACAGTAAAAAGACTGGGGATGTATCTCAGTGTGAAGGCCCTGGGTTCAGTCTCCAGTGCACTGAGCTCCATCCCCATCCCTCTGTATTTTTGAGGGTCTGTCTGAGTTGTCCAGGCTGGAGTTGAACTTGAGATCCTCTTGCCTCAGCCTCCTGAGTGCTGGGATTACAGGCGTGTTCCACCACGCCAGCATCACGGTTTTAGAGACTGAAATGTGAACAACTTCTAAAAGGGAGAGTCTTGGCTTCTCTCCTCCTTTGAGTTAAAGAGTGCTTGAATCTGTTTCTAGCAGTCCTGTGGTCAGCATGTTTGGAGATACCAATTCTGACCTCAGTTATCCTTTTTCTTGTGTGTTTTATTTCACAGTTTTGGCATGCAGATGGATGTTGGTTTTTATTTTTTTGGTCAGTTATGTTCAGATGTTTTGAAATTTTGGGATCAAGGGACTAGAATGAGGGTACAGTGAGCTGTAAAGGGTGTTATGTTCCTGACGATTGACATGAGTATATGTGTACCACCAAGGCGCTGGGAATGAAGTGATAGACTTTGTTTTTTGTTTTTGCGAGAGTGTGTGTGTGTGTGTGTGTGTGTGTGTGTGTGTGTTAGTTTGTTACCAGGGATCAAACTCAGGACCTTGTGCTGTGTGTGTTTTTTGAGACAGAGTCTCACTTTGTAATTCAGGCTGGCCTTGAACTCACTATGTAACCCAGGCTGGCTTTGAACTCACGGTGATACTCCTGCCTCAGCCTCCTGAGTGCTGGGATTCCAGGTGTACACCACCGGGGCTGGCCAGGTGATAGACTTTGAAGAGACAGTTTCTCCTTCCAAAGAACTTGCTTACTTCCCTAATTGTGGGAGTTAGGTTTTAATACCTGATGTAGGACAGTATATAAGTTTGTGGCAGAATTGATTGCTTGGAAGTGGTAATGTTCTTTTATAGGGCTTGGGGCATTCTAATGGAATGAGTGAGAAATGACTTTACTTGTATTGACAGATGTAATTACAAATTTCAGATAATCTGATTTTTATGTTTGGGTCCATAGTTTGTGCCCTTGGGGCTGTACTTTATCTCAAGGTCATTGTTCTGAGTGTATCCTGGCAGCTAAGTGCTAGTTGGGAAATCATTTTCGCTGTCTGGGAACTGCTTTTCATTTCCTGCCTTGGAGTGCAGGATGGTGCCTTGACCTGGCCAAGTGCAGGGCACCATCCGTAGTGGCTCTGACTGCTCATGGGCGGGTGGCCCTTGATGGAGATGATTTGCTTTTGGACCTTTGGATTTGATAGGAAGCCTTAGGCATGCTGAGCATTTCAGTCTCCCTTCTCTTGCACCTTCCCAAGGTAAAGGAGAAGTTAGAGCCACTGCAGGGAGAGGCTGGAGAGCTAAGTGAAGCAGCACAGCAGTGTCACTGACTGTGGGCTTTCTGGGACAGTAAGCTCTCCCGCAGTCAGTTTCGGAGTTTCAGGTAACAGGCTGCAAGCCAGGCATCCTTGTCGATGCCTGGAAAACTGTCAGATTAGTACTGAAAAATAAAGATGGTAAGTAAATGCTGAAAATAAACAAAGGTTTGCATTGGCAGACAGCCTCATCTTTTTACTGAAATAAGGACACTGAATGTATAAAACTACACACAGCAAGGTTACCTCTTAACTGTGTGGGCTGTCCCTTTGGAACCCTTGGCCCTTTGAGTTTCTTTTGGATTCTGATCTCTCAGTTGAGCTGATCTTAAAACTCTGTAAACTAATCACTGGCTCTTCCACAGATGGTCATCTGTGTGCTGGCCTTTGTATTTAAGACTTTAATTAATCCTACAGCTTTTGGACTTCAAGTGAAAGGTTTCCCAGATGCTCATCTTGGATGCTGATCAGTCCAGATGTTCTCTCCCTCAGGGTAGCTTCCTGCATACTGGCCTCTTGAGACTCTGGGATGAGGAGGCCTCTGGGATCCTTAGGCTCGCTGCCCGGCTCCAGGCTCCTGTCTCTCCTGCCGTGCAGTCAGGCAGTGCTAGTTCAGTTGATAGTTGGAGCCTAAAGTTCTAGGTGTACGTTTAAAAATTATTTGAAAACTGCTGATGAAGAAAGAGTTCATTGTTTGGATCTTCATTCTGAGGACAGAAGGGAAATGAAAAGTTCCCAAATTGATTTTCTTCTACAAATAATTATTTTGCTTTGAAAAATTAGTACCATCACATCTGAAGAGACTTGTTTTTCTGTTTCAGTGAGCCAAGTGGAGTGTCCCAAAGTAATGCTGGCTTTTGTGTCTGTGTTAAACCATCAAATAGTTCTGGTTAATGTGCTTTTCTCAAATTTGTTGGCCCTGCACACTTTTCCTTTTTGAGTTATTTTCTAAAGTTAATTTTTTTGTAAATGCATATGCTTAATTCTAACAGCAGGCAGATTGATGTCCTTTGATTTGTGAAGTAGGTAAATATCACTGAATCTTTAAACAGTAGACAAAGAAGTTGAGATTTTTTAAAAAATGTAAATTGATTTCTCCTCCAGCTGATGTAAGCAATGGTACAGTGAAGAAGGAGTCTTCTAATAAAGAAGTGGCAAGAATATGGATAAATGACATGAAAATGAGGAGTTTTTCCCCAACCATGGTGAGTTTCAAACATCTGTGTCTATATTTTTGTGTAGTATGAAAGTACACTTGAAGTGGGGCCTGGTGGGACACTCCTATAATCCCAGCACTCTGGGGGCTGAGGCAGGAAGGATTGGTGCAAGTTCAAGGCCAGCCTGGGCTACTTGGTGAGATTAAGGCCAGGCTGGACAATATAGCAGCAACACCTTGTCTCAAAAAACCAAAAACTAGCCACGGATTAGCTCAGTGTTTCAGCTCAGTGTTTTCGCCTGCCTGCCTACAAGGTCCCAGTTCAATCCCCAGTACCAAAACAAAAACAAAAAGCAAACAAAGCTGGGGAGTGGTGGTGCACACCTGTAATCCCAGCACTCTGGAGGCTGAGGCAGAGGCAGACAGAACAAAGTTCAAGGCCACCCAAGGTTAAATAGTGGGTCAAGGGCCAGGGATTTAACTCAGTTGGTGCCACCACCTGCCTCACAAGCACAAGGTCCCTAGTTCGATCCCCAGTACCAAAAAAAAAAAATTAAGGGAATTTTTCTTAGAAATGCAGCATGTTTCAGTTTGATTTTGAATGTTAACATCTCTGTGGACAACACTGGTGTAATGGGTTTTTATAAGAAGATTATTGCACAGTTCCCCTTTCAGTGACACCAACTCTCCCAGCCTGGTGGACTAAGCATGAATGCGCAGCAGATCAGAGAGCACAGTGCAATGCTCAGGGTGCAGGCTAGGGCTTGGGAGGGAGCGAGACCTCTGCAAGCGTGGGTTTCCATTGGAAGCTGTGTGCAGCTGGGTTTAACTGGAGAAATTTGGAGAAGGCATTTTAGGAAGGGCGCCACAGCATTAACAGGCATAGAGGAAGTGGCAGCTGTGCTTAGGTGAGGTAAGCTGGGATCCTTGGTTTGTGCTAGAAGTGGCAGCAGAAGATTCGGGCTCTTGAGCTGGGCTTGAAGAACTTTGGGCTGGTGTAGCCCCCGAAAAGAGCCAACTGTGAGTGAGTGGACAGGGAAAGACCTCCGATGGGGCTTAGCAGCTACTGCTAGGGGCTTAGTAATCTACAAGGGAGGTAACAAGGGACTGAGCTGGGGGATTGCAGGGGAGTTTTTTTTTTAATGGTACTGAGAATGGAGCCCAGGGTTTTCACACCAAGCTGTGTCCCCATCCTGCAGGGTCTCAGTCACTGAGTTGCCCAGGCTGGGCTCAAATGTGTGACCCTTCTGGCCTCAGCCTGCCATTGTGTTGGGATTATAGGTGTGCCTCACCGCATCCTGCTGTGCTAGGGTAGAGGATTTGAAAAGGGCACAGGAGAATGAGAAAAGGAAAGTGGTAGCTGTTTGTACTTGACCATACCAAAAGACTGTGTGGACATGGACGTGGAACATGGAATAGAGGTGGCCCAGTGACCTGTTCCTGAGGTGTTCAGTGGGCACCAGAAGAGCAGATACCAGCAGCATCTGGTTTACTTAGTGGTTGTACACCAACAGCATTTAGAAGTTGGTTTTCTTAACCGTGCGTTTTTCTTGAAGAAATGTAAACAGATGCATTTTCTTGGGCCCTGCGGTGTTTGGAGGAATTTTGAATACTTTGTGGGTACAAGAAATCCTGATTTCCAGGTTCTGTTGAAAAATAGGGCCTAACAGCCCTGGCCCCACACTCCTCAGCTGGTAAACTCATAAACCGCATCATTGCCCAGGTGCCAGCTTGCTCTCATTGCTACTCCTTGAGCTGAAGCTTGGTGTTGGCTGCCAGTTCACATACTTCTGGCTTAGAAATACTCCCTGTCTGGGCCGGGGATTTAGCTCAGTGGTTTCGCTGCCTGCTGCACAAGCGCAAGGACCCAAATTCGATCCCTGGTACCAAAAAGAAAGAAAGAAATACTCCCTGTCTGGTGCCTGGATTTTGTGACCCTTCAGTACTCTAAATTTATCCTTCAATTTTACCCCTAATGATTTTTCTGAAAATCTAAGTAGAAGGTGGGTATGTTGGCACATGATTAATTTTATCTCAGCTATTTGAGAGGCTGAGGCAGGAAGATCACAAGTTTGAGTCCAGCATAGGCAATTTAGATATGTATCTTTTTTTTTTTTTTTTTGTACCAGGGATTGAATTTGGGACCTTGCACTTGCAAAGCAGCCATCCTCGGAACCACTGAGTTAAATCCCCAGCCCTGACAATTTAGTGATGTAGTGAGACCCTGTCTCAAAATTAAAATCAGAGGCCAGGTGTGGTGCTGCACGCCTGTAATCCCAGCACTTGGGGAGGCTGAGGCAGGAGGATTGCCACGAGTTCAAGGTCAGCCTGAAGTACATAGCAAGACCCTGTCTCTAAAACAAACAAACCAAAAGAAAAATTTAAAAACAGAAAAGGGCTGGGGATGTAACTCAATGTAAAGGCCCTGAGTTCAACCCTATTATCACCAAAATCAATCAGTCAAATAAATTTAAGGCCAAGCCAAATGTAATTTGAGGCCAACCTGGGCAGTTTAGGGAGAGCCTGCCTTAAAAAAATCTAGGTAGAGGAAGAAAAGGGAGAAACGAGGTTTGACAACATAGACCCCATTCATGTTTTATAGTTGAGGTGAAAGTGCAGAGGACTCAGCATTTAGTTAATTTGTCCCAAGGATACAGAATGATATAACAGCATATGGTATCATCTGTTTCCCTGGCCAGTCCCATTTTGTCTCCAGTGTCTAACATTGGGTTTCATTTTGAGACCATTTGGAGTTGGGATTTCACCTCAGGACTCTCAGGATGCTTCCTATTCTCCTTCCTTCCATGTGTGTCAAGCGTCTTTGTGCTAGCACATTCTGATCTGGACTTGGGTAAACCCCAGAGAAGGGAGCCTGCCTTACCCTGAAGACTTGGACTGAGTCCTCTTCCTCCTCCCGTCTTGTCTGCTGGGTTTTATAGCAGCTTCTCTGCCTAGTTCTCTGAACCTGATGGGTTCCTGATGGCTTTATTGGGCATGACAAGAGGCATGTGTGATCAGGGTCTTTCTGCTCTCTGATCCCTCCCATTCCTACACCTGTAAGGGTCCATGGAGAAAAAGGGGATATACGTGAGTGTGGCACTCATTCCCTGGGCTCGCCAGCGGTAGTCTGCGTTACCCGTGTTGTCTCGGTGTGGTTTTTGCCAGTGTTCCATTTCTGCCAGACCGCTGAGGTTGAGGGGAAATCCCTTGGCTGCTTCTGTGTACTTGTTTTGTGGAGACATAGGAGTGTGAAGTGAATCTCTGTGCTCCAGAAGAGCCTTGAACTCCAGTCACCTAGTCTGTCCTGTGCTTGTAGGGTCTGAGAGAAAGAAGGCAGGTGGAGGCGAGCTAAAGAGCAGGGAGACGTGTGAGCTGGAGAGAGGCCCTGGCACCTTCCTGTCCCCTCCGCTTGTTCTTGCAACTGGAAGGGAGAGAGACAGGGAGCGTAGGGAGGCAGTACTGAAGGGGAGATGGGGCTGCAGAGGAGTGGCTTCTGTGGTGACATTTGTGTGTAAGGGACAGAGTAGGTTGCCATTGAGAAGCAGGGAAGCCACAAAGTGAGACCTGAGTTGAGGGAACACACAAGTGGTGCCTTCCAGTCCAAGGTGGGCAGTTCCAGTGTTCCCGCAGGAGAGTTTCCTCCGTGCTGGCTGCGCCTCCGGTCTCTGGTTTCGGAACTGATTGTTCTTTCTCTGTTACAGAAGGTTCCGGTTGTAAAAGAGGAAGATGAACCAGAGGAGGAAGATGAAGAAGAAATGGGCCATGCTGAAACCTATGCAGAGTATATGCCAATAAAATGTATGTCTTTGAGATCTGTCAGAATAACAAAAGACTTCTGGGTTCCTCTTGAACTTAAATAATTCTCCCTTGTATACTTACCTGAGGGGACATAGCAACCCTGTGTACACCGGCATTTGACAAGTGGGAAGTTTTGTCATGCATTTTAAGCTCTAATGTTTAAAAAATACATTCAGGTTTTACTGAATTTTTTTCCTATACAAATTTAGAACTTTCAGATTGAAGTCTTTGAAACAAAGACTAAAGAGGGTCGGTTTTTATTTTGTTTTGAGTTAATTTTGCTTATATAAGTACTGGTAATAAAATTATCTTCAGCAAATTGTAGGTATAAAAATGTGTACTTTAAACCTGTCATCGTGGCAATACACCTATGCTCCCAGCACTTGGGAGGCTGTGGCAGGAGGATTGCTCTGAATTCAAGGCCAGCCCAGACTGCACAGCAGGACTCTGTCTCAAAAAACCAAATAGCAACAAAAAAATTTAAAAATAAAAAAGGGCTGGGGATGTAGCTCAATGAAAAGGCCCTGAGTTCAACCCTATTATCACCAAAATCAATCAGTCAAATAAATTTAAGGCCAAGCCAAATGTAATTTGAGGCCAACCTGGGCAGTT